CCGGAAAATCAGGGCTTCAAGAGTCAAGGGGATGAATCCTTTTAGAGTTTTTATCTACACTATGAGTCCTACCTATGAGCAAAGTATGAGCTCACCCGGAGGGTATCAGTTGGTGAGGTTCCCTCGTCAGATTGTCTCAAAGTTGGGCAAAAATGTAAAAATATGGAACTGCTCACAGTAATTTCTAGGTCATTTTGTCTGAAACTATGGTACAGGTTTGCGTGACCAACCTGGGAGATCCTCGGGGGCCTTGAGAGGACCCCTCAAACCGATTTAAAAATTTGTTTAAGGTGATTCTCATCAGTAACTCCATGAGATCTACTAGTTCTGCAAGTTTTATCTGATTCTGGGATGCTCGCCGTAAAGTGTAGCACGCTTTCGAAAGAATCACGCATATTCCATTCTGAGCAATAAAAGGTTAACCACCTATTTCCCGATCTAGATATAAATTCGACTAAAATCTGCTGAAAATTTTTATTCGAAAAAATAGTTGCTGGGTGCCTGATACACTTTTAAACGAACACGACAGAATCCGATGTAGTTTTTTAAACTCTTTCTAATGGTGGGGTTAATTGCGGTATTTATTTCATTCAAATCTCAGAAAAAACGGCTCTAGTGTTAAGAATGAGAACGCTTTTACAAGAGCCAGGTGGTTTCCAATGTGTTTCAATCTTCCTTTTCCTCTGTTTTAGGTACAATCCGTTGGATGGCCCCTGAAATATGTTGTCATCCGCCAGAGAAGCTATCACGTGAGTCAGACGTCTGGGCATACGGATGTATTTTATTGGAAATAACAAGTGGTGATTTGCCATGGCGTGAGGAGTTTGAAGACGATCAAATATTATTTCGTACATTACAAAAACAACACACGGATATTTTTACTCGTATATGTAGTACTCAACGTGCACCACCAAAATTTCGTCAATTATTATGTATGTGCTGCTCATGGTCAAAATCGCATCGGCCAACATTTACTGCCATTGTGTCTAATCTTCAAGCAATTTCATCAACCGATTTAGTCAAAATCAACCAGCCATCACGTACTTCAAGCTCCAGCACACTTTCATCTAAAATGTCATCGATGTCAATACACCAGCAACAAAACGACCAAAATGAAGAACGAGCAAGAAAGGCACGACAACAAAAGGAAGATCAAGAACGGCTTACCAGAGAAGAACGTGATCGAAGAGATAGAGAAGAACGTGATCGAAGAGATAGAGAAGAACGTGATCGAAGAGATAGAACAGATCGTGAACGTCGTGACCGGGAAGAGAGAGAATGGCAACGACAAAAAGATGAAAGAGATCGTTTAGATCGAGAACAGCGTGAACGTGAAGAAAACGATCGCCAAGAACGACAACGACGACAGCAGCAAGCAGTTCCAGCTAGTCGCCGCAGCACCTTCGACGATTCATTTAGTGATGGCGACAGTAGTAGTGACTTTCCTTCCCCATTTCCAGCCTTTCGATCCGGTAATGATGGTTTTGGTTCACTATTAGCTCCGCCTAGCTTTACAATGGGAGGTAGTGGAGGAGGTGGCAGAAGTGCTGCTAGCCATGGAGGACATTTGACTGGTGATTTTTATACTAGTAGAGGGTCAGCAAATGGACGAGCTATTTATGAAGGAGCAAGAGGAGGACATTATTACATGACACGAGGCGGAAATAAACGATATCTATAGAATCAACCGAACGTTTCGCTACTCCACGTGTACTTACGTTTTCGGTATATAACACATCTTCATTGCTTTTGTGAAAACTTCCTAGGACTTGTCCGTTTTCCGAAAGAAAAGAAAGTTTGACGCATAAAGTTTATATCCGAGAATGTTTGTGGTTTGCAGGATGTTTTTCGTCAGTAGCTGAAAACTTTCGGGGTGAAATCCTGATTGATCAAATTTCAATATAAGTTTGGTGTTTACAGCTACTGAGTCGAATAGTAACAGACAGTACATTATTGATCTGATGTTGTGAGACACAAGTTTTGAAAATTATCATCTTATCTCTCCATATGAAGAGAAATAAAAGCTATTAGTTACAAGTTTCTCTCGTGAGCTACTATTCTTTTTTAACTTCCTCCCATTTGTACATCTTCTATGTTATAGCCATTTGCAGAGAGCCCTTACAGATAGGCTACGATCAACCGTGCTCAGTCGACTTTCTCCAAACTTGATTTCAATTACATAGGTCAAAAGTACAATCAATAGCAAGTTTTTTGCCGGAAATCGCAGCTCTACAACCCAAATAGTTATTGAGATATTAACTGAATGTCAGAGGGGAAACTATTCAAAATCTCTAATAACTTCTCAATGTTTGTTCCTGTCTTCATTAACACAAAGTAATCGTCCACGAACCATCTCCAGAATAGCACACTATTTGTTTGTAATCTCCATTTCAGTTTTTCTTCTAAGTAACTGATATAGATATCTGCAAAATGCGTAAGAGATACAGATCATAAACTATGGATGCACTCTTTTTCAGAATAAACTGAGAAGACAGCCGCTTATGTTTATGGTAAAGTTCGTAATATTTAGAGTCTTACTTGATAAACTTTTATTTTACCACTTCATATGTAACTGTTGATTTGTTCAATGCATTGCACTCTTAATTCATCTACTTCGCGTTTGAAACCTCTATCAGGCATTGGCTAAACAAAAGAGTTTTTAGATTATCATCTGAAATAGATCACACTTACCTACGTTCTGAATCGTTGCTTCTTCAAAATACTGAGGACCTTTTTAGAAGTTTCGTTCTACCGAGGCTTCGTACAGTACCGTCTTTTTAATTCAAAACTAGGTTTCGTAATAAAAATTTAGTAGGAGCTTGATGCATCGTTCTCAACTCATTCGTGTTACTGTAGTAACAACATAAATGTTCAATGTGAGAACGAAGAAAAGGGAATTCTTGTCATGATAGGAAAGTGTTTGACAAGTTTGACATGATTTTTCTTCTTTTCCTTATAAATTTCTTAGAATTAGTTACATGCATAATAGTGACGTTTCGTTGTTGACGACAACTTTCTCATACATATTGACATTTAA